GGAGAGAAAGAGAGAGAGAGAAAGAGAGAGAGAGAGAGAAAGAGAGAGAGAGAGAGAGTGAGAGAGAAAGATAGAGAAGGCACACATCTATCTTGATGACGTCGGTACGGGACTCGCAGTTATGAGACTGCGGGTTCGGGGGTTCGAGGCTCAGCTCGGTCTTACGCTGTCCTTGGGAAAAACACTTTCTCATTTGGCTCGGTTCTATCGGATTTGGACGTAAAATTCGGAGGTCTCGCCTCTTGAATAGCCTATCGGCGTTACAAATGATGTTTAATATGTTGTAGGCCCTACACTTTTCTACATAATATTTTATTTCGCACATCTCTATCTTTTTGTGTAGGCGTTAAGTTAATTTCATATTATTTTTGGTTTCGCATTTTACCATGCTATAAAATGCTACTGCTGATAGTGACAATGGAACAAAATAATGTTTAAAACAGAAAGAAACTGAGGTCTTAACATACAATGTGTTGTCTATTTCTTCCCCTTCACCTCTCTCCCGCTCTCTCCTCCTCTTTCCCCCTTTCCCCCTTTCCCCCTGTCTCTCACTCTCTCTCCTTTTCTCCTCCTCTCTTCCCCATCTCCTCTCCCTCTCTCCCTTCTTCCCCCACCCCTAAACCAGTCCCAATACTGCTGTCTAAGCGGTGGATCCTCGCCTACATCGGCATGGTTGGATTTTTCTTCATCTACTCTCTACGGGTCAACTTGAGCGTGGCCATCGTTTGTATGGTCAAGGATGACGTCAACAAAACCACCTCCACCAACCTCAGCACCTCAAACGAGGCCACGTGTACTGCAGACACCCCCTCCAATTCTACAAACGTAAGTAAAAACGTCCACATCGACACACTTTGGATCATCCAGCGGAGCCATTGTAAATTTAGGGCATATCACACATGTCTAAAATAATCGTGGTAAATACAGCATGAGAAATACTTTGTACTTGATGTACACGAGACAGCGAGTGATAAGTGGAGCCAACAAGAGTTATAAAAATGTCCCTTTAGAGTATCCACTTCTATTTAAACCACCAAGACTGGCCTAAGAATGACAGAGTGCATGTCGTCAAAACTCCACCTTAAGGGTCATTTGCACGTCAACCTCTGAGGTATCAAGGTAAAGGATCACGAGTCACACCATGAATAGATCAAGGGCCAATGGCACTCGTATATCAAGCGCAGTGGGTAGCTTTGCGAGAAATGAGCAATAAGCAGGCGGACTGAACTTACTTGATAATAGACTAGTTTATTTTTAAAAAGAAAAAAAGAGAAGAAAATCAAAAACATAGGTGTATGGTATTCGAATAAAACTTATAGTGGCTTCATACAGTGAAACGTGGATGAAGTTTCGTTTCCTCAAAATCACACAGCACCATCATGTTATGGTGCGCTGGTTGCCTCGGCTGTGTTTGTCAAGTCTCACCTGCTGTGGGCTATGTTTTACGTTACGTCACTTCTGACACTGTTTTGACAATAATTTTAGACCAGACAGTGTGTTTATGTTACATTTGTCCACACTGTGCATTCTGTGACAAATATGTGTGTTTGTGTGTGTCTGTGTCCTTTCAAAAATCTGTGTCACAATATTCCAGACAGTACACTACCGGTACCATGGTCGCCGTGTTTTGCTCTCATTAAAAACTTCTCTCACAGTGCCCCACGCACCCCCCCCCCTGCTCTTCATTTGCCTCCAAATTGCGTCAAAACAATACACTCCATGGTGAAACGGAATTGCGTTGGAGAATACGGTCTAGGATAATATTAAAAGTCTATGTATAAGCCTTGTATTTATAGGGACTGTCGATGAGAACATGCCCCTCCTTTTCCACCCTTTTTTGCTCTATGCAATCTCTCTCTCTCTCTAGACCTTTTTTCTGCTTCCAAGGTGTCATTTAGAGTTACTTTTTTCCTGAGACTTCTTTTTGCGGCTAAACCCTCATAAGTCAAGACATTTTCAACCTCTGCCTAGGGGGTATACAATATTGTGGGTGGCAGAAGGGTGTTATTAGTAGGTTGTAGTTCTTAAGTTTCTCTGCTACTGTTCTTGTCTATTTTTTCGTTCTGTTTTAGTAAATGGTTTACGGCACTCGTAGCACAATAAGGTAATATAAGTGCCGAAGATTAGAGGTATTACAAGAGAGTAACAAACACAAAAAAGAAGGAGGAGAGATAAAGATAATAGATGTTTGATAGGAAAGAAGAAGAAACCACACCAGAGCACCCGCCAACCACCCACTTTTTTTTTTCGAAGAACTAAATTGTCGTAACTATGTGGATAAAAGTATACTTCTCTTCCCTCAAAATGATATCGATTGTTTTGTTTTTTTCTCCTCTCAGAACGGGGAGTTTGACTGGGACAAAGACACACAGTCTCTTATGTTGTCTGCCTTCTTCTACGGCTACATAGTGCTCCAGGTCCCCGGAGGGTGGATGGCTGGACGTTTCGGCGGGAAGAGAGTGCTGGGCATAGGGGTACTGGTCACTGCGATAGCCACTGTCCTGCTTCCTGTGGCGGCCAGGCAAGACCACAGGGCCGTGTATGCCCTGAGGGTGATCATGGGACTGGCTGAGGTAAGTGTCTTTGTGGTGCTTCTCCCCCCCCCCATCTTTCTCTCTCTCTCT